CAGAAGATCTAAATAGACATTTCTCCAAAGAAGACATACAGATGGCCAAGAGGAACATGAAAAGCTGCACAGCATCACTAATTATTAGAGAAATGCAAATCAAAACTACAATGAGGTATCACCTCACACCAGTTAGAATGGGCATCATCAGAAAATCTACAAACAACAAATGCTGGAGAGGGTGTGGAGAAAAGGGAACCCTCTTGCACTGTTTGTGGGAATGTAAATTGATACAGCCACTATGGAGAACCGTATGGAGGTTCCTTAAAAAACTAAAAATAGAGTTACCATATGACCCAGCAATCCCACAACAGGGCATATATCCAGAGAAAAGCATAATTCAAAAAGCCACATGCACACCAATGTTCACTGCAGCACTAATTACAATAGCCAGGTCATGGGAGCAACCTAAATGCCTGTCAACAAACGAATGGATTAAAGAAGATGTGGTATATATATACACAATGCAATATTACTCAGCCATAAAAAGGAGTGAAATTGGGTCATTTGCAGAGACATGGATGGACCTAGAGACTGTCATACAGAGTGAAGTAAGTCAGAGAAAAACAAATATGGTACATTAACGCATGTATGTGGAATCTAGAAAAATGGTACAGAGGAAGCGGTTTGCAAGGCAGAAGTAGAGACCCAGATATAGAGAACAAACACACGGACACCAAGGGGGGAAAGCGCGGGGGCAGGGGGTGGTGGTGGGATGAACTGGGAGATTGGGATTGACGTATATACACTAATATGTATAAAATAGATAACTAATAAGAACCTGCTGTATAAAAAAATGAAATAAAATTCTAAAAAGAAAAAATGAAGAGGAAGGGCAGAGTAGGCACACCTGGTTCCTACCTCCAGACTCACTCACCAGACAGACCACTCCACCTCCGCTGGGGTGTCACTGAGGAGTGTCCCCCCAGTGGAGCTCAGTCCACAGGGAAGGAAGCTTCCTCCACGAATCTCTCTTAAAAAACATTAAGTAGTATTTTTGAATATCAAGGTAAGGAAATTAAAGTGCAAAGAGGTGACATACTTTACCCAATGTCTCCCAGCTAGTGAGTGGCAGAACAAAATTTAAATCAAGTCCTCTCACTTCAAATTCCTTGCATCTTGCCTCCACACCAAGCTGTCCCAGAGTACGTATAGTGGCAGAGAAACTAGAAAGGTAAAGCCAGGAGATGTGTTTGAGAGAGCATGTTCACTCTGAGATGGAGCAGCTACTGCTGACAGCTGGATGTGGAGGGGAAGACAGAGGAAGAGAGAGTTGATAAATGAGCCCCCATCACCACCCGCAGTGCAGCCAGCCACACAAGGTCAGCAGAGCGCCAGGAATGCCCTTCTCCCCCCGCTGGCTGTGGCGTGCATCCTTGGGTAGGACTGTCTCAGTTTCAGCTGAAACTCTGAGCTGACATCAAAACAATTCTACCAACATTGAAGCTAGAAGCCACATCAGCTTTCCAGTTCAGGGCCAGTACCTTATGAACAGCTGCAAGAGGAGATGTAAACATCGTCCTATGGCCACACAATACGGGAAATATCAGATTAATCGCTCTTCCCTCTGTTTTCATGAAGCTTCCCAGTTTTAATAGCACAGCCTTGCATTTACAAAGTCTTGTTTTTTTGTCTCTTTATCATGAAAACCGGTGCGTGACTAGCCTTGCTGGAAGATGAAATGAGTAATTAAGTAATTGACCACAGATTCAACAAGTCTTTGCTTGGTGTGGGAAGAAACACGGTTGTGGATGCTGGATCGTGGAACCAGAGCAAACCTGTAGGATTCTCAGGGGAAATAGTTTTCCAGATAAGTAAGTGTAAATCTTTCAAGACGTCTATGGATGTCTTCATCTGTTGTGGAATATTGCTGCCTACTATCTTGCCTTGTGTAGTGGGATGTACAAGCCCACTTGTACATCCAGTGTACAAGGCCAGCCCAGACTGGATTGCTATTTGCAGGACTGGTGGGCTAGTGGCTTCTTTATGCAAATTCAATACATGGCCACAGGGGAAGGATTGGGGTTGTTTTGTGGCTGAGGCGAGAGACAACACTTTTTTTTTTTAAACATCTTTATTGGAGTGTAATTGCTTTACAATGGTGTGTTAGTTTCTGCTGTATAACAAAGTGAATCAGCTATACATATACATATATCCCTGTATCTCCTCCCTCTTGCATTTCCCTCCCACCATCCCTACCTCACCCGTCTAGGTGGGCACAAAGCACTGAGCTGATCTCCCTGTGCTATGCGGCTGCTTCCTACTAGCTATCTATTTTACGTTTGGTAGTTTATATAAGTCCATGCCACTCTCTCACTTCGTCCCAGCTTACCCTTCTCCCTCCCCGTGTCCTCAAGTCCATGCTCTACATCTGTGTCTTTATTCCTGTCCTGCCCCTAGGTCTTCAGAACCATTTTATAAAAATTTTTTTTAGATTCCATATATATGTGTTAGCATACGGTATTTGTTTTTCTCTTTCTGAGTTGCTTCACTCTGTATGACAGACTCTGGGTCCGTCCACCTCACTACAAATAACTCAATTTCGTTTCTTCTTATGGCTGAGTAATATTCCATTGTATGTATGTGCCACATCTTCTTTATTCATTCATCTGTCTATGGACACTTAGGTTGCTTCCATGTCCTGACTATTGCAAATAGAGCTGCAATGAACATTGTGGTACATGACTCTTTTTGAATGATGGTTTTCTCAGGGTATATGGCCAGTAGTGGGATTGCTGGGTTGTATGGTAGTTCTCTTTGTAGTTTGTTAAGGAACCTCCATACTGTTCTCCATAGTGGCTGTATCAATTTACATTCCCACCAACAATGCAAGAGGATTCCCTTTTCTCCACACCCTCTCCAGCATTTATTGTTTGTAGATTTTTTGATGATGGCCATTCTGACCGATGTGAGGTGATACCTCATTGTAGTTTTGATTTGCATTTGAGAGACAGCACTTTTGATGTTGTTTGATCTGAGACTCTGGGAGGGAGGGGGCCAGCTGTGTGGGAACACGGAGGATGACAGCAATGGAGTGGCATCCACACTCCCTCCTCTCCCCATCAGGGTTCTGAGTAGCTTTGAGTTCCCTACCTATGGAGAGAGGGCTCAGGGTGGAAGCTGAAGGAACTGTGCTCATAAACGAGTGTGTGAGAGCCTGGACCTACACGTGCAGGGCATGTGCAGAACCCTGTCCCAGCCCTGCTCAGACCAGAAGGCCACTGAGTGTCCTGAGTGCAGAGACTGGCCAGCACCCTATCAGAAGAGACTGGAAGAGCAGGGTCTTTATGAGGGCAACAGAGGCAGTGATGGGGAGCCGCCAGGGTCTGAAATAGCAGGAGAGACACTCTACGGGAAGAGAGGATACAGACATTCATGTAGGAGCTAAGAGTTTGGGTAATTCTGGCATTAATGACAGTATCACCTCACCTGCACCCTCAACTGCTGATGCCCCTGTATTGATTTGTGTTTCCTGATGTGAATGAATATTTCTCTTAATTTATCACACCTTGGCTTCTCACTGATCAGAAGCAGTATCCATTCAGTCTAGTGGCAGTTTCCCATACAGGACAGTCTTTGAGCCAAGAGAATCTAAGAACCCCTGATTTAGCCTCTCTCCCCTTCTTTGGGCAGAACAGCATGTAATACCAATTCAGAAGTAAATTGGAATACTATACTTTAAAAGAAACTTTTCCAGAAATACTCTCCCAGTGATATCCTGAGAGAAGTTAGTCATACCTTGGAGTTCATTCAACACTGGGTCAGAAATTTATTGGCTAAAAAATACAACACAAGTGATCTCCTGGCCCTCTGACCAAGATCTGGCCCTTTTCTTCGCTTCTGACAAGCCAAGTGCATGAGAACTCAGATCTTGAGATGTTATCTGACCGTGGCCTTACTTAGGCGTGGCCTAGCACAGCCCCTCTGGCTGCCACCATTCTTACGTAACTGCAAATGATCGCTGGCAAGGTTAGAGGGGCCTTCAGAATGCCTGAGATCAGAATCAGTCCCCAAGATGTGGGCCGGTTGTCATGGTGACTCTATTGTAGCATCATTTTATTTTTCAACTAAATAAAAGAAATCTTCAGTCCCATCTGTTCAGTATGAGCCATTGCCTTTGGAGTCAGGACATGAGAGAGGGGCTTCAAAGAGTTGTCTACTTTGTTGGAAACAGAAAAGGAAAATTGAGTTGAGATTTGTTGCCTACCTCTGCTGGGTATTTCTGCAGCAAAGGTGGCAAACTCTGTCATGGGTGCTTCATGGAGACCAAACACCCAAGTTTGTTTTCAGGGTGGAAATCAGACATCATGACTTTAAAGGTCATCAGTCAGTCAGCAGGAAAGCTTGGTGCGTGGGGCCTGCATTCACCTCTCACCAAGCTCTGGTGACGTGAATGCAGCTGGACTCCTTCAGAACCCATAAAGGCCCCTGATTGCGGCTGTCATGTTCCCATTGCCTGAGTGTGAGGAAGCAGGCCGTGGCTAAACCAAGTTGTACAACTCCTTGCTAAAAAAAAATAGGGTTGGGTGCCATTGCTTCAACTTGCATAGCACCACGCATCTCTCCTTCAGAGTACTTACTCTAGTTGATGATCTCACGTGTGTGTGTGTGTGTGTGTGTGTGTGTGTGTGTGTGTGTGTGTGTCTGAGATGGCTTGCCTACTTCCCACTCTACATTATATGCTCCATGAAGACAGATAATATTTCTTTGCCTCAGCTGTGTATCCCAGAATCTGGCGTGGTCCTTGTTTATTGAATGAATGAATGAATGAATGAGTGAATTAGTAAAAAATCCTGGGGAGTATGGGGTCCTCAATTTATAGAGAAGAAAACAGGCCCAGAGAAGTAACAAGTTTCCCAGGGTCATGCCTTAAGGAAGTGACAATGGGTTTTGCAAAAACCTAGACTCAAATTGTGTCCCAAAGGGAGGGGTCTTGGGTAAAACCAAGCGAGATTTTGCCTTATCTGCATCCCCCACCTCCACAGTTCCCAAAGCTCTTAAACGGCAAAAGGCCAGAAATGCCATGGGAGCCACTGCTTTGATTTCTCAGGACTCCTGCTCTGCCCCCGGGGCCAAATTATCACAGACAGAGAATGAGGCCTCACAGCCTTAGCTTTGGATTTCAGGTTTGTCTGGCTGTAGACCCTGTGTTTCATTAACAGGTGTTTCTGGTTTGTTTGTGTTCTCTCATTCTCTAAAATGTTGTTTTCTACAGTTCCATACCCAGAGGAGGTTGGAGTCTGTTTTGTAATTATGCCTACAGTCTCTCCATTGCCCAAGGTATTTCTGTGGCTTCTGAGCATAAAAAGAAAACAACAAAAAACCTATTAGACAAACAGTGGCACTTGTCGGTGATGCTCTCTCTACCCTGTGTCCACTTGAGAGGCTAACCAATTCACCACATGGTGGCCTTCTTCTATTTAGGAATAGGGCGCCCTACAGATCAGAGTGTGGTGGGCACAGGGCCCAGGATAGGAGAGTCAAGGAGGGAACTTACCGGAAGTGTGGGGACCACAGAGGAAGCTTGGCTGCTTTTCTGGCTTCTGGCTAGGCCTTTACCTGCAATCGCCCAAGGGCAGAAGGAGGCACAAAGCTGAAAGGCCTCTCCTCCCATGGCTCAAGGCTGGGTCTGAGGCCCTTGGGCCTGTCCTCTTCCTATCCTGACCCTTCTTCTCAAGGAGACCTTTCTATGCCTGCTTACCCAGGGGCCCCAGAAGTTCCTCTGATGTCTCAGCCTCCCTCCTCGCTGGTCTACACACACCTCCACTTATGAGGGCTACAGTGCTCTCTCTGCCACCTCTCAGGGAGCATTTGTCACCGTGAAACAGAATTGCCCCTAGCCCATGGGCAGGCTGCACGGGATTCCAGGAGTCCAGGCAAAAAGAAGAGGGTCACATTCACCCATTTGAAAGCTGTTCCTTGACCCCTTTCATTTTCCCCAATTCCCACCCACACCACCCCAACTGCTACCTACCCCTTCTCATTTGACCTCTCCTTCTTCTGGACAAGTAACTGATTATAGAGATGATCCCCAAGCCCGTGCTCAGCAAGCAAACGATGAGAATGGTCATCCTGGAAGGAATCACAGACAGCATCCGTGTCCCTTGGAAGACACCATCTTTTGGTTCTCTGCTCAGGATCCCCTTTTCTGGGACCCGTCCCCTCTCCCTGCCCCTGCTCTCGCCCAGTTCCAGCAACGCCTGGCAACCTGGATTCCTTCAGAGGCAACCCGTCTCCTCCAGACCACACTTGATTGGACCTGCGGTGGGTGTCTGACCAAGCTGGGCCCAGCCCCCTCCTCGGGAACTAACATGGGACTGGAAGTGGGAGGATGCAGTCTCAGGCTGGCGAGTCTCTTGAACGGGGGAAAAATAAACTCGGCAGCTAGAAATGGATTATCTTCTCCTATGGCAAAAATGAAATATAAAAGGGCAGTGGGGAGAGAGAGGAAGCAAACACACATAAGCGTAGCAGATTAGAGATGGAGATAAATCCTGATGACATTCAGACCCTTTCTCAGGGCTACCACATCCCTGCCCTCTCATTTCATCAGCCATTGCTCTCTCCTTATGAAGAATTTCCCTCTTTAGCTAAAATAACCAGAGAGCATTCTTGCTGCTTGTGATCAAGAGTCCTAAACAATATTCTTTTGAAAAGAAGCAAATAGTCACACTGAAGACAGTTCAGGAAGAGAAACAATACACTGCTGAAAAGGAGCAGGTGCAAACCCATTGTCATGTTGTGTTGTTACTGCCCAACCAAAGTCTGCTTGTCTCCTAAAGTCATGACTCACCTGGAGTGATCTGCCTTGTGGACAACTTTGGAAGAACTGCAGCTTCTGTTCTTGTTGCCTGATAGGTCTGTGTCAGAAAGGATTTGTTGAGAATCAAATAAGGCCCATCCCCAGGCCCTTCCTTTGCCTTCTGCATCTCTGCACCTCTGCCTGTCATTCCCTCAGTCTCCAGAGAATTAGTGCCCTGGGTGACTGCTGGGTCAAGTCCAGCTGTTTATGGGTGCCCTGCACAGGGCAGAGGTGGAGGGAACAATCAGGGCTGTAATCCAGCCCTTATACTCGTTTGCCAAACCATGCACCTTGCCACTGGGCTCCATGCACCTGGAGGAAGGGGCATCTTTTCCAGATTTGCACAAAGGCGCTGTGTTGACTAGACATGGCCTGTGGTTAGAGAGTGCCAGGCTGAGTGCCAGTCCTATCCTTAAGGAACTGATCAGTAGGTAACATAATTGCCACATCATGCTTCTGACAGCCACCAAAGCCCAATGGGAGAAGGGCCACTATGGTCACCCACATTGCCACCTGTGATAAGACTGGGGTGTGGGGGGGGTGTCTGTGTTTCATTTAAACTAAGGAGCACACTTAGGTGGGACCTCTCTCATCCTGAGCCTAAAACTCAGGACAGACTACACAGTTAAGTAAAAGCAGAACCACACAAAGTAGAAACACTGCAGGCGTGAAGGGTATCACACATTCAGTAAGAGGCTTGCTGAACAAATAACCAGTTGGTCAAGTGTGAGCAAGGCCCTCTAGCACCAGGAGGAGGCTTCCCGGAGCTTCCCTTAAGTCCTCTGTTTTCCTACTGACACTGTGCTCTGGACTGCACTAGAAAAAGACATGCCTTCTAGAAATGGAAATAATGAGAAGCCATAGGAGGAAAAGAAGAAGAAAAGAAAGATAGTACTTTCCATAAACAGTGTGCCTGAGAGAGGTTTTCAGCATTGGACAGAAGGATTTGGGGGAGCATCTGGAGACCCTATGCCTTCGCCCTGGCCCAAAGGAGCAACACACTGGCTTATACAGACTCACCCCTCCAGGCTGCTCCACCCACACCCTTCCGGCAGCTTCCTGGTGCAAACTGTACTCCTTAAAAGAAAGCACTGACCTCTTGGACCATATTTATCCCTGTAAATTATGAAATTATTTAAGTGGACAGTTTTTGAGGTGCTTGTCTGGGTGCTTAGACCACTTTTTTTTTTTTCTTTTTTTTTTTTGCGATATGCGGGCCTCTCACTGCTGTGGCCTCTCCCGTTGCGCAGCACAGGCTCTGGACGTGCAGGCTCAGCGGCCATGGCTCACGGGCCCAGCCGCTCCGTGGCATGTGGGATCTTCCCGGACCAGGGCACGAACCCGTGTCCCCTGCATCGGCAGGCAGACTCTCAACCACTGCGCCACCAGGGGAGCCCTTAGACCACTTTTTACAGCCTCAGTCACGCCTCAAGAAGTGAATCTTCAAGACTCTAGACCTGCAAGGCAATGCTCTGGCACCTGTCAGCCTCCCAAGTTCCATCTGCCAGATGGCTGTGAGGGGAGAGAGGTGCCAAGAGCACCCCAGGGCAATGGACCCTCCTCGTCCCCAAATTCCAAGTCAGTTGTCAGCAGCAGCAGCAGCTCTCCTACTATGGAGGGAAGGAGAGGCCAGGTTACCCCAGAGAACCTAGGGGGAGCCCGAGTTGTTGCTCTCTGAGTATTTACCACATCAGCTAACATGCACTGCTGTGGGGTACCCGCAGCTGGACCCCCAACAGGCTCTTACCTCTCCCAGACCAAAAATTGTTGGCGAGGGCTCTTCTGTTGTCAGTGACAACCAGCTCTGTAAAATCCATGTCATCCCCGGCAAAGTCCCGCTGGATGCTGCACCAGTACCAGCCCATATCCTCCTTGGTCAGGCAGGACACAGTGACAATAAGCTGGTTTCCTGTGTCCCTCAGGACCACGCGGTCAGTGCTGTTGGGCGTGAAGGCAATGATGTTGCAATAGTCCTGGAAATAACCTCGGCACCAGTATTTGGGGTGGTCCTTATAGTGGGCATCGTAGTTGCAGATGGCAGAAGCTGTGTCCAGCACAAAGATTTCCTTGACCTTTTCATCCATGACCATAGCATCTGTGAAAACACACATAGACAAACACTATTGTTCTTTTAAACACATTGTAGTTCCTGCACCCTGGAGGAAAATTAATTAAACATTGGAGGCCGATTTTTGCCTGCTTTGGGGTTGGCAACTGTTATGGGCTGAATAGTGTCCCCCTAAAATTTATACGTTGAAGTGTTAACCACCCAGTACTTTAGAATGTGACTACGTTTGGATTTAGAGCCTTTAAATAGGTAATTAAGTTAAAAGGGGGTCGTTAGAATGTGCCCTAATCCAATCTGATCGGTGCCCTAATAAAAAAGATTAGGACACAGACAACAGAGGTATGACCATGTGAGGACACAGTGAGAAGGCGGCCCTCTGCAAGCCAAGGAGAGAGACCTCAGGAGAAACCAAACCTGCCAACACCTTGATCTTGGACTTCTGGCCTCCATCACTGTAAGGAAACAAATTTTTGTTGTGTAAACCACACAGTCTGTGGTTGTTACAGGAGGCCTAGCAAACTAATACAGCAGCCCTGGAGAAGACTTCTTCCCTGGCCTAAGAGTGGGTAAAATACGTTTCCCCCTCTGCAAGAATTTAGGCGGCTTCTCATGTTGCTTGTGGGGGAGGGTAGAAAAGCCCGAGGCTTACTGTTAGTATATCCTCTGCCCCTAGCCCCCCACTCCACCTTGGTATCCTCGAAAAGAAAGTAAGGAGGTTTGAAACAGAAACAAACTCACAGACATAGAAAGCAAACTTATGGTTACCAAAGGGGAAAGGACAGGGGGAGGAATAAATTAGGAGTTTGGGGTTAACAGATACACACTACTATATATAAAATAGCTAAACAACAAAGACCTACCGTATAGCACAGGGAACTATATTCAGTATCTTGTAATAATCTATAATGGAAAAAAATCTGAAAAAAATATATATGTATAACTGAATCACTTTGCTGTACACCTGAAACTACACAACATTGTAAATCAAATATACTTCGATAAAATTTTAAAAAATAGAAAATAGGCCTTCCCTGGTGGCACAGTGGTTGAGAGTCCGCCTGCCGATGCAGGGGACATGGGTTCGTGCCCTGGTCCGGGAGGATCCCACATGCCGCGGAGCGGCTGGGCCCGTGAGCCATGGCCGCTGAGCCTGCGTGTCCGGAGCCTGTGCTCCGCAACGGGAGAGGCCACAAGAGTGAGAGGCCCACGTACCATAAAAAAAACAAAAAAAAAAGAAAAGAAAAGAATTATAGAAAAAGAAAGTAAGGAGGTTTAGAGGCTTCTGTTGGATGTATAGGGCTGAAAACAGAGATGTCTGGTTCTGTCTGTCCTCAGGGGCTAAGAACTTCATGTTTCCTCCATACCAGACCAGTGTGGGCACATCTGTCATCTCAGGATGTTGCATAATAAGGAAGTTGTGTACTTCACATCCAGCGTGACAGTGGCTGGGGAAGTGTCTGACCAAGGTTACGAGATGGGCAACAGAGACCACCCCTCAGCCTTCCAGATGTGCACTGGGGCCTCCTCAAATGCTGCCTCAAGTGTAGCTCACAGTGGGTGCGACCAGCCTACAAAGCAGGCTCACATCCTTGATATCATTTGACATGGTATGATATTTTGTTCTCAGATGGACCCCATAAGAAAGATTGTGTGATACTTAGTTTACTGGCCTGAACACTGACTCAGAGAGAGGTGCGGTGACTCTCAAAGGTCACAAGGCTGGACAGTGGCAGAGCTGGGGCCAACCCAGTCTTCTAAGTCTCATCTTTGGGGTCAGGCATGGGCAGAAAGTGGAAAGTCCCGTCCTCATATATCAGCACAAGTGTTTTTAAGGGGAGAAGGGGGAAAGGAAGGGGGAACTTAAACTGAGAGTGAGAATCCAGACCCCTCATTTTAGCTGAGGGCTTCAAATTCCCCCCACAACCCCTTCATCAGATCAAAGAACAAGGACTAATTTGGACAAGATCTATTTCCACCTCCTTTTATTTTCCCATCCCCTCCTTAGGTGGTTTGAGCTAATAGGCAAGAACTCCAGGTAGGAAAGGAAAAGAAAATGCACAGTCTCTGGGAAGCTTGGAGGGCTGGAGATGTTCCTTCCCCATCTCTTACCTGAAAAGACAGTCAAGGAGAGCAGAATGAAGAGCCTCATGACTGGAAGGAAGTGAACCTTCAACTGGGATGACCAGATGGACCCAAGGGTCTTAGGAATCCTAGATCTGTTTTCAGGAAATAGGAATCTTTGAGTTTAAGATGGTTTTATCCTGTTTGGAGTGACCAGGGAAAAGAAGGACCAACCAGTTAATCCAAGAAGTGCTACTATATATAGGTACCCAGGTTGTGCACTGCACAAGGGTACCTCATGAGAAGGATGCCATTTGTGGACATAAACTTACTTATATAGTAATATGAGAAAATTCTGGGCTTCCTGGTAGAGCCCAGAACAGCAGTGAAGATCCCCCTCCTGGGTAAATCCACTCTGGCACACAAGGCACACTCAGAAGGGCACATGCACACACACCATCGCTGGCACACATTCATCTTTGCAACAGTGCCCTGTTCTGCCAATGGTCCAGGTATCATAAGAGGCCAGGCCTCTTGTCTGTTCACCACTCTTGGAAGTCCAATTCCTATTTAGCTGAGAGGAAGACTAGTAATGAGATTCATAACTATCCTGCCTTCTGAGTTGATAGAGGGTGGAGCCTGAAGCAGGTGGAGCCTGGCATCCGGAGCATGTGAGCAGGTGAAAGTGTGGGTTTTTGTGCACCAGTAGACAGGCTGCAGCCTACAGACATCTTGAAAGCTTTCTTGGGACAAAGCAAGGCTCTCTGTCCATGCAGCAGAAGCTTCCCCTTATTCCTAATGGGACTCATATGGCCTGGCCACTGATTTTTAAAGTTTGAATTATGGAACCACCCTCGGTTGAATTTAAGCTGAATGCTTACTTATCACATCCCAGAGCTAGCACTTCTCATCAAGGGCTGGACGTGGGTGATTGTCCAGGTTTTCAATAATGTCCTCTCTTGAGGAAGGAGAGCCTTTCTCTAATTCACACCAAGTCAGCATATGGGCCAGCAGCAGGCCTGCATCATGGTACGTGTTTTACCTGCATCATGGTAGGTGTTTTGCTTATATTGCCTCATTTATTCCTTATGAAACATTTATGAGTTCAACAATTAAACTGCACAGGGAAAAAATGAAGCAGGAATCTATAGATTAAAAGGGGCTTAAGAGACATATTGATAAAATTGCAATATATGGAATTTATTTGGATTCTGACTGAAGGAAACAATTGAGAAAATTTGGACAGTGACTAGATAGTTGATGATATTCAGAGATTATTGTTGGGGGACAGAATCAAGATGGCAGTGTGGGAAGACGCTGAGTTAGGCTCTCCCCACAACTAGGGCACCTGCCGGCCACTGGTGGGGGACCCTGATGCCCAAGTAGACAGGAGGAACCCCCAAGTGAACCAGTAGGACACGGGGGCACTGAGGGGGAAGAATTGGAAGCCAGACAAGATTGGTGCCCCTGAGGCTGGGGAGATCAGGAGAGGCAGGCAGGAGGGACTCTCCGGGAGGAGCAGGAAAGGAATAGAGGGCGATTGCCTGGCCCACTCAGGCCTAGGAAGGCTGCTGAGCTCCCAGGCCAGTCCCCTGCCCTCCAAGGCCCCCCCACCCCACCCCGGCCGCATTGGTCCTGGGGGCATAGGAAGGAGCCCGAGGGGAGAATAGGAGAGGCAGGCAGGAGGGGGCCTCCGGGACCAGGGGAGCAGGAGAAGGGAGGAAGGCATTTGCCGCACCCACTCAAGTCCAGGAAGCTTGCTGGGCTCCCAGGTGAGGTCCCCTGTCCTCTGAGACCAGTGGTGGGGGACACGCCTGGACCCCTTCTGTTCCTTGAGCCTAAGCCCCACCCCCACAGCCCCCAGGGCCTTTTCCAACCCTGTGGGTCCTGAGCGTAGGCCCCGCCCAGCACCCAAACCTCTCCCTTGCTTAGGCCCCACCCTCCACAGCCAAGGCCTTCCCCTCCCCTTTTTTTTTCTTTTCTCTCCTCCTCTTCTTTACTATTGTGATACTGACGTACCTTCCAGTTGTTGATTCATCTATATTTTTATATTCTTTCTAACATATCTGTTAGTTTCCTAGTCTAATTTTATTTTTTACTTTGTTATTGTTCTCTTTTTTGTTTTTTTGCCACCCCATGCAGCTTATGGGATCTTGGTTCATGAGCCAGGGGTCAGGCCAAATTTCCTGTGGTGGGAGCTCTGAGTCCAAAGCACTGGACTAACAGAGAACCTCAGACCCCAGGGAATATTCATTGGAGTGAGGTCTCACAGAGTTCTTCATCTCAGCACCAAGACCCAAGCTCTACCCAGTAGCCTCAAATTCCACTGTTGGAAGCCTCAGGCCAAACAACCAGTAAAACAGGAACACAATCCCACTCATTAAAAAAAAAAAAAAAAAAAATTTCAGATGAAGGAGTAAGGTAAAAATCTACAAGACCAAATAAATGAAGAGGAAATAGGCAATCTACCTGAAAAATAATTCAGAGTAATGGGAGAAAAGATGACCCAGAATCTCGGAAATAGAATGGAGGCATGGATTCAGAAAATACAAGAAATGTTTAACGAAGATCTAGAAGAACTAAAGAACAAAAAAACAGAGATGAACAACACAATAACTGAAATGAAAAATACACAAGAAGGAATCAATAACAGAATAACTGAGGCAGAAGAACGAACAAGTGAGCTGGAAGACAAAATGGTAGAAATAACTGCTGAGGAGCAGAATAAAGAAAAAAGAATGAAAAGAATTGAGGACAATCTCAGAGACCTCTGGGACAACACTAAACACACCAACATTCTAATTATAGGGGTCCCAGAAAAAGAAGAGAAAAAGAAAGTGTCTGAGAAAACATTTGAAGGGATTATAGAAAACTCTATAATCTCTTCCTTAACATGGGAAAGGAAATAGTTACCCAAGTCCAGGAAGCACAGACAGTGCCATACAGGATAAATCCTAGGAAAAACACACCAAGACACATATTAATCAAACTAACAAAAATTAAATTCAAAGAAAAAATATTAAAAACAGCAAGGGAAAAACAAAAAAATAACATACAAAGGAATCCCTATAAGATGATCAGCTGCTTTCTCAGCAGACACTCTGCAGGCCAGAAGGGAGTGGCAGGATATACTTAAAGTGATGAAAGAGAAAAACCTACAACCAAGATTACTCTACCCAGCAAGGATCTCATTCAGATTTGATAGAGAAGTCAAAAGCTTTTCAGACAAGCAAAAGCTAAGAGAATTCAGCACCACCAAACCAGCTTTACAACCAATGCTAAAGAAACTTCTCTAAGCGGGAAACACAAGAGAAGAAAAAGACCCACAAAAAAAACTCCAAAACAATTAAGAAAATGGTAATAGGAACATACATATTGATAATAACCTTGAATGTAAATGGATTAAATGCTCCCATCAAAACACACAGACTGGCTGAATGGATAAATAAAAGACCCATATATAGGCTGTCTACAAGAGACCCACTTCAGACCTAGGGACACAGACAGACCAAAAGTGAGGGGATGGAAAAAGATATTCCATGCAAATGGAAATCAAAAGAAAGCTGAAGTAGCAATACCTGTATCAGATAAAATAGAATTTAAAATAAAGACTGTTACAAGAGATAAGGAGGGACACTACATAAGGATCAAAGGATCAATCCAAAAGAAGATATAACAATTATAAATGTCTATGCACCCAACATAGGAGCACCTCAATACATAAGGCAAATGCTAACAACCATGAAAGGAGAAATTGACAGTAACACAATAATAGAGTAGGGGACTTTAACACCCCACTTACACCAATGGACAGATCATCCAATCAGAAAATAAGTAAGGAAATACAAGCTTTAAATGACACAATAGACCAGATATATTTAATTGATATTTATACAACATTCCACTCAAAATCGGCAGAATACACATTCTTCTCAAGTGCACATGGAACATTCTCCAGGATAGACCACATCTTGCATCACAAATCAAGCCTCAGAAAATTTAAGAAAATTGAAATCGTATCAAGCATCTTTTCTGACCACAACACTATGAAATTGGAAATCAATTACAGGAAAAGGGCTGTAAAAAACCCAAATACATGGAGGCTAAACAGTGTGCTACTAAATAACCAAGAGATCACTGAACAAATCAAAACAGAAATTAAAAAACACATAGAAACAAATGACAGTGAGAACACGATGACCCAAAACCTATGGGATGCAGCAAAAGCAGTTCTAAGAGGGAAGTTTATAGCAATTCAATCTCACCTCAAGAAACAAGAAACATCTCAAGTAAACTATCTAACCCTACACTTAAAACAACTAGAGGAAGAAGAACAAAGAAAACCCAAAGTCAGTAGAAGGAAATAAATCATAAAGATCAGAGCAGAAATAACTGAAATAGAAACAGAGAAAACAATAGCAAAGATCAATAAAACTAAAAGCTGCTTCTTTGAGAAGATAAACAAAATTAATAAACCATTAGCCAGACTCATCAAGAAAAAAAAGGAGAAGTAAATCAATAAAATTAGAGGGTCTTCCCTGGTGGCGCAGTGGTTGAGAGTCCACCTGCCGAGGCAGGGGACATGGGTTCGTGCCCCGGTCCAGGAAGATCCCAGATGCCGCAGAGCGGCTGGGCCCGTGAGCCATGGCCGCTGAGCCTGCACGTCTGGAGCCTGTGCTCCACAACGGGAGAGACCACAACAGTGAGAGGCCTGCGTACCACAAAAAAAATAAATAAATAAAAAACTAGAAATGAAAAAGGAGAAATCACAACTGACACTGCAGAAATACAAAGGATTATAAGAGACTACTACAAACAACTGTATGCCAATAAAATGGACAGCCACGAAGAAATGGACAAATTCTTGGAAAGGTACAATTTTCCGAGACTGAACCAGGAAAAATTAGAAAACATAAACAGACCTATCACAAGTAATGAAATTGAAACCATAATTTAAAATCTTCCAACAAACAAAAGTCCAGGACCAGGTGGCTGGACCAGGTGAATTCTATCAAACATTTAGAGAAGAGCTAACACCCATTCTTCTCAAAACAGATGGAGAAATATACCATGTCCTTGGATTGGAAGAATCAATATTGTGAAAATGACTATACTACCCAAAGCAATCTACAGATTCAATGCAATCCCTATCAAA